GCTGGCTTGACAGCTCTTGAAAAAATGAGATTCATCCTACCCAGATTCCAGTATCGTTATATTCCACCCTTCATGAAAGATCCCACAACTTTTCCCTTTTGGCCCTGGGGAGATGTGGAATTCCCAAAACTTCACACATTAGAACTAGCTGTGAACACAGGACACGGGGACCAGGAGTTGTGCAACAACCTCTTCAAACCATTCACCAGGGTAAAACAAGTTGTCCTCAGATTACCAGAAATGAACCTAAAACTGGGATGTCTGGAGAACATACAAAACTTGACCATATGGAATGCTGATAATTACCTAGTGACTGTGGTGAATTTTTATCTGAATTCCATACCATCCAAGGATTTCAGTTCTCTGACAATATCTAAGGTTTGGAGATGGCAGTTTGGGGGTACTTCCTACCAGCCTAAACATCTATTAAAACGCCTCCGCTTACATATTGGTGACTTCATACGCATGCCTGAATATGTCAAAAGGATGAAAACATTGACACATCTTGAGTTTACCCAGCAGAGTTATGAAGATATGACGCACCATGACTTCCTCTCCCTTACAAACCTAGAATATCTTGATCTCAGTTATAACTCTGTAAGGATAAACAAAAGGCCAAATATGAAGCCCATCTTTGACCAGAACAAAACAGCTTTGGAATATATTGATTTAAGTTACAACTACCTGGGAGGACTTGATGAAAACCTACTTAAAAGTCCACCTTCTCTGAAATATGTCAATTTAAGCCATAACCTCATAAACACAGCTGACTTGGGGGTTTTACAAGGCAGTCCAATCAAGGAACTAAATCTTGCTTTCAATAATATTGACACACTGACAATTAGTGGTACCATAAACTTGAATACATTAACAATCCTGAATTTGAAAAGGAACCGTGTACAAGCACTGCCAGTTAACCTGTTCAGAAGCGCACCAAATATCAGGTACCTTAACTTGGCCAACAATATATTTCAGACTGTCCCTGTAAACATCACAATGTTGGAAAGTTTAGAATATCTCAATTTGAGGGATAATCCACTCACTACGTTTGACTCACACAATTTGGTTCAATTATCCATAGTAAGTCTACAAAAACTCCACCTGCCTCTCAAAAATGTGCACTTTCTAAAATATCTCTCTGGTGAGGAGAGCAAGACCCTGGAGATATATCTCCATGGAGACAACCTGGATTGTTCCAAATGTGAGAGTGTCATGGCAACCTATGCAATATTTAAATTTGGCTATCTCAAGACACAAAATGTGTACTGCAGAAATATATCATCTTCCTCTCCTGCAGCAGGAAGAGATATTCTAGCAGCTGGATTTGATACTAAAGAGCTTGGGTGCATCAACTATCAGAGTTGCTTTAGTTCATGTAACTGTTACTGGCATCAGATGAAGGGACAAGTCTTCCGTGTTGCCAACTGCAGTGACAGTTTCTTAACAAGCCTTCCCAGAAATTTCCCCAATGATACTACAGTGTTAGAAGTTCAGCGAAACCAGCTTGAACGTTTCCCCAATATTGCTCTGCCAAACCTCTGGATTCTTTCCCTGAAGGACAACAGCATTACGGAAATCAAAAATGAAAGCTTGCAACATGTTCCCAACCTGCGTTATCTGAGCTTAGAAGGCAATGGAATTACTCATATCCCAGAGGGGTTCTTCAACCACACCCCTCATATGATCACGGCTAATCTGACAGGCAACCCAATAAAGTGTGACTGCAGTCAGAGATGGATAAAAGACTGGATGCTTCAACAAGAGAAAAATGACAGAACAATATTTGTGGAGGCATTCTGCAGCAATAGTTCTGGTACAGCAATCAACATAAAAGATTTTGATTTTGAGGAAGCCTGTGTCCCTCAAGCTCTTAAATATATCAAGACATTTGACTACGTGACTTTGCTAGTTGTTTTAGTATTGCTGATAATAGTTGCTATACTGATTCTCTTGATTTATATCTGCCGTAAAGAGCTCCAAGTATGGATCATTAATAGAGGGTGGTGGAAGGCAAACGTACTGACAAACTCAGCACAAAGGACATATAAGTATGATGCCTACATAGCATACTGTGACAACAACTATTCAATAATTCGTGATCATTTCATTCCTCGTCTTGAGCAAAAACATGGCTACAGACTTTTCATACGAGACCGGGATTCCGAAGCAGGCCAACCAATTGCAGAAAATGTTGCTAATGCAATCAGTAAAAGTTATTGCACCATAGCATTGTTAAGTAACTCTGCTATGGAGAGTGAGTGGTTTCCAGTGGAGTTTGAATTAACTCACAGTTTATCTGTAGAGGACAAAAGTCGCCGTCTAGTCATTGTGAAGGTGGGGCATCTTAGTAAAGAGGCCCTGAAAACACAGAAAAGTATCCAGTTGTACCTAACCACCAAGACGTATCTAAGTTGGACTGATCCCGATTTCTGGGATAAAATGCATAAAATATTGCCAGACAAACCCCACCCTGTATTCATGGGTAACGAGGCTTACACAGAAGACACCCCAGACAATGGAGTTCATAGAGAAAATGATTATGTTCAAAGAGAGGGCCCGTATGTTGCTGCTAATGTTGACATTACTGTTGATGATGATTTCACAGATGATGACGATGTACACAGTGATCATTCATTTGATACATACTGTAGTGGAGACAACATACCAGGCCATGCTGTTGTCAATGACAATTATTATGTTAGTGACAATGATCAAGCACATGGCAATAATTATGATCATGATGCAGAGAGTGACAAAAGCAGCACAGCAGCTGATGTGGAGAATAATTTGTTTAATGCTGAAACTGAAACAACAGATGTCAGTGTTAACAACCTAGACAAAGCTTACGACACCCATGTCCACGCAGATGCTCAACCTCAAAACGTCACCACTGAACTTGAACCCGCAACAGACATCCTCAGCAACAGCGACAGTGACAATACAAAATATGACAATGACAAAGATCCACAGACATTACAAGATGACAGAAAATCCATGAATGATTCCCCTAGTGGGAGTGAAAAAAGTGACAGTCAGGAAGAATCAGAGACTCCTGAGTCTAGTCTGACTGGATCACCGGTGGTTGAAAAAGACTCCCTTGGTGTTGGCACACCGTCAGGCAAACTAAGTGATAAAGAAAGTGACAGATACAGCTCACTTTCCTCCCTTAGTCTAAGCCTTGATCTTGATGAGAGCTTCTCTCAGTTACAGGTTGGTAACAACCTGGACAATTCTGGAGATGTAAATGGCATTAACAGCAATGGAAATACTCAGATAGACAACAGTACACACTTAACCCTAAATGGGCTTAGCAGTGCAAACTATCAAGACAAAGACAATGGTAATGACATTCGAGAACAGACTGACATGACTCATGGTAAAATGGAACAAGAAATGACCAATTCAACAAGACATTTAACCAACAATATAATAACTAAACCAGTTGCTGCTCCCAGATCACTGAATGGCAATGTGTCGCCCATAAGAACAGAAGACAACAGTGTCAGTCTCGGGGTTGATTACAGAGAAGATGCTATAGAGGTGTAGCATGCACAGATTCCATTATATAAAAGTATAGGGTGGGGCAGGAGTAACCTGCAATCTGTGGCCTTGTTATAGTGGGCACTGGGTGCACTATCTTTGTTACAGTTGCTACAAAAGTTCATGTTATTTAAGTTTTTCCAATGCGATTGTTAAATGGGAGAGACACATTGCCAGTTTGGAAAGCGATTGTATCATCTCTGGTTTCCATTTAATGCTCTGGTGGTAAAACATGAAACCTGTCATTAAGTAAATTTGTAAAATGACAGAAAGCACGGCCATACCTTATGGCTTTCTTCAAAGGGATTCAAATGACACTATTCACTATATTCATCATTTAAACAATATCCCCATTTTTACATTGTCATTATATATTTCATTCAATTATATATTAGTTTTTATTAAAATAGAAGCAAAATAAAGTCATTAATTAAATAACAAAGAGATCTAATAAAACATTTTTAACATGTCATGTTAGGCAAGTCCACTTTGTTTGTCATTCAAATAGGTGCTGATTAAATTAGTATAATATAATTTTATTGTCATGTTTTATCCATCATTAAATGGCAATTTGAAATGAATTTCAATTTAATGACTAATAAATCATGATATGTTAGGTATAGGTAAGAAACAAAATGTTTAAAGGAAATGTAACCAAACTATGAATTAAAACAGTCCTAACATTAACAGGAATTTACATTGTGAGTTATAATCAAGGATGTATTTGTAAGTCATACTTGTAATGTTTAGTACCAGTATGCATATTAATAAAAGACAGATATTTGTGTATTGCTCTTCATGGACTTGGAAACTTCTGCAAAACAACATGAAGTTTCTAAGTTAATGAACAGAACAGATTTTTAAGAATACCCACTCATTCATTGTTTTATATGTATACACGGGAAGATACAGCAATAAGAAGATAAGAATCTGATGAATTTGGCCACCTTCAAGACTCTTATCCAATTCATCACCCATAGAACAATAACACCTACAGTGTCAATGCCATACTGGTACCAGTAGTTTACATGATGCAGCCATGGGTACTGTAGCATAATGGCACATCTGCATATTTGAAGCAGCCATAAATATGTAAAGTATGAATGGAACTCCATTGCCCATTAAATCTGATTATACACATGATACCGCATAGGGTCATAAAAGATAATTTTTATCATGGTTGTAATTTTGGCATATATCACTAGAAGTAAGATCAAGAATTGATAGCTATAAAATCTGATATGGATATTTGAATTATACCATGCCATTGCTAAGTTTGGCATCTGGGAATATAAATTGATATTAAATCTAAATTTCATCTTACCACAGTTGTTTTTAGATGAGAATGCATATTTTGTTAGAATAAGCATTTTTTTCAGAAAATAAAAATAAATTAATAAAGGGTCCACATTGTCTTTACCTTATTATTAAAAAGAATTAAATATCCCCCATGTCTTTACCTTATTATTATTAAGATATAATACAGTCAGATTGGTCAAGGTGGGCATCATGGAAATATCCTCTATCTCATTCATGCCCAGGTTCAACTCAGTCAGGTTGTAGCTTCTTTCAAGGCCATCCAAACGCTTGATAAAGTTGTGAGAAAGATTCAGTGTCTGTAGATGAGATAGCACCTCTATGGATTCAAATCTAAAAAAAAAAAGAATTAATGAAAAAAATTATGTACGATAGAAGTATAAGTATTTACTGATACAGTGTTTGGCAGCTTTAGTGATTATTGAGTGTGTGTCATTCTCTGACAAGATTTGTGTTCTGTAAACAAAACTTTCCAGGGGTAAAGTATGCTTTTATGAGATTTGTAAAGAAGCCCATTCTGACATGTTTTTGTCCATACATGATGAAAGTAGATTTAACAGATTCTAAATGTGTTTCTCCTCTAACACAATTGCTGACTACCAAACTTTTCTACATGTATCTCATTTTTTCAAAAATAGTAAGCACAAATTTAGCTTGTTCTGATTACTGAGAGAGTTTTGATTAGAATTCTTTTTAACCAGGTTAATAACTTGTATTGAAAAAGTTCAATCATAATAAAACAAAAGTATGTACAAATGTATGTTTGAATGTACGAATACCTCTGAATCCTATTTAGTGATGCATCCAATACTCGCAGGTGTTTCAGTGGGTATAATGCTTCATAATCAAGATTTTGCAGCTCATTCAAAGAAAAATCTGCCTTGAGGATTCTGGAGGGTTGCTCAGTGATAGTAGCTATCCTTGGAAGTGGTTTGCTGAAGGAATGGTATGTTTACACTTACATATATAATAAAAATGATTTAAGTCTAAGTCTAACAATGAAGTCAAACTCCATCTGCAGGACATGACCCAGGCCATAAATATTGATTTTTGTATAGTCACAAAGTTTAGTGTTATACAGATTGTCTATCCATGGCCATATATAACCAAATCCTTAAAATTGTTATTTTTTCAAGATTAATCAAAATGTGATATGACAAAATATTGGGCAAGTCCATACAAATAGAAGTGAAAATCCATCAGATGGGTAAAACCTTGGTCCTACATCTAAAGTGGGTTAATTCAGTATAAATTACCAATTAAATCACCAAAACCTTGATATTTTCCTCCATGATTCACCTGTAAAGTTGATTGCAGTGGTTGGAGAATTGACTTGTGTTAATTGGTTCTCAAAATAAATAAAAAAAAAAAATGAAAAGGATGTCTTGTAGGTAGATAGATTGAATTGATTTATTGTTCATGAAAAAAACATGCAATTAAGTAATTGACTGCAATTTTCAACTTCAACATTTTTTTTCACAAAAATAAAGAAATACACCTACAATGCACCTTTTCCTTCCCATGTTGTGAGCCATTTTATATATATAAATGCATGTATCTTTCATTTCTTATTTAAATTTCTGCCTGATTGGTTAAATCTGACACATTTCCCCTGTAACCGATAGTGTATGTATTCAACTATTTATACCTCTCATCTCCCCAATTAAATCCCCACTTGATCCGCTGTATCTGGCACATGCGTAGGTCAAGCTGGTAGTAATGCCCCCTTCCAACATCCCACTCTGAGGGGACTATGGGGAGAGTAGACAGCTTCTTATCAACAAACTCTTTACTGATAGTGGAAGACATGTTGAGTTGCTGCAGTATTGTTCCAGTTAGACTTACATGTACTATGTTGAATCCGATTTACACCACGAACACTATAAATAAATGAGAAGATTTAATAAATTTCTAAACTCATGTCTTGCATGGAAATGATACATATAAATCAATGACTATATATATATATATATATTCATCGTGTTCTTTGCAATCAAACACACTAACTATATGTCTTCAATGAAGTTAAAACATGGATTGTTTACATGTTGCCATGTCTGAAATTTCTTAGTAGGGCAAACCATTTGAAATTTCAAACCGATCATTAGGGTTATTCTTTTTAAATTGGCAATGCACAGTAAATCAACACAAATCCAGTGTTAAAAGATACATATTGCAAAATTCTGAAATAACTTCTATTGCAGATACACTAAATGCCAAGAATTTTGCCAAAAAGTACCCATCATCTTGTCTCCATCAAGCAGTGCGCCATATTGGATGTTATTACAATACTCGCAAATTATTGGACGATCAGTCGCACCTTCCACTTCGCGGAATACGGCGCGAGCCAACCAGTGCAATGGCGGACGTCCATTGATCTAGTTTTCTCTCCACGTGTGAAAAATATTTTCGCCGACTGCTGCGGAACAAAGCCTCCGATTTCTAAGAGAATTTACAGACAGGTTCAGGAAGATTCAGAGAAGCAATAGGATCATTTTCGGATAGATCTGTAGTCGTCGTACAAAATACTCAGAGTTTTATTTGTCGCACGTTTTCTTAGCGAAAATCTTTGCAAAACAACACGTGGTGTTCTAAAGGTTTTTTGGTGCAAACTGCGGCTTACAATGGCGGCTAATTTGATTTTAGAAGATGGTACTTCTTATACTGGGAAGTCATTTGGGGCTGAAATAGACATGGCTGGTGAAGTTGGTATGTATTGAAAATAAGAGAAATGTGATGAATATATTAAAGAAATGTACACAGTGGGAAATGGGCGCTGCTTTACGTACTCTAGTACCCATAATTAAGCCATATACAGAGGTGTGATTTAATTTTTTTTTTTTTTTTGCAAGAGCTGTATTTGGGAAACACATTCCTGAAGATTTATCATAATTACATTGAAGTTTTATTCTTGAGTTCTATTAATTATTACTATTGTCTTTATTTTACTTTTATTTTCATCTTTAGAGAAATTTACATGCTATAGCCAGTGCTACGTACATGTACAGTACATAATTGTATTAAATACCTAACTTTTGACATACAAAATTCTAGAGAGAAAATCTTTATATCTTTTTCAGTATTTCAGACAGGTATGGTTGGCTACCCGGAATCTCTAACAGATCCGTCTTACAGCTCACAGATCCTTGTTTTGACCTATCCCCTTATTGGCAACTATGGCATTCCAGACCCTGAGAAGGATGCTCTTGGACTGAGCAGGTGGTTTGAGTCGTCCAAGATCCATGTGGCAGCTTTGATTGTGGGTGACTATACAGAGGCCTATAGTCACTGGAGTGCCAAGAAATCTCTGCATGATTGGCTGAAAGAGCATAATATTCCAGCCATTTATGGTATTACATGAAGTTTGCATTTATAGTTGTCTTTCTCTGTTGATATATTAAAAGATTACTGCCATGTGTATATTTTAAACTACAAAACAATATATTGTCTGTTCAGGGATGGGATATATATATTTCAATATGCATAAAAGTTAAACTGTTTTGGGGTTGGATTAAACTTCATGCATTTCTGTTTTAACCACATGCATACAATCCTATTCCCATTATTGTAAAGATTTTTTTATGCAAATAAGGAAAAATGGCTATATTTTAAAGCATTGTGAGACCTGTTAAAAAAATTTAAAGAAGCTTTTTTTTTACATTGCCTGCTTAGCATTTTGAAAATTATCTTTGAACTATAGTGATTAAAAACATGATGCTAAGTTTGGAAAGGTGGGGATATTTATTATCAATTAGTGTATTGAAAAATAAGATGCTTTTATGTAATGTAAATGGTATGTTATTCATTCAAGTTTTTTTTCTTAAAATTAGGCATTGACACAAGATCTCTGACCAAAACAATCAGGGAAAATGGGACCATGCTTGGAAAGGTATTTGTTGATGTTATTCTCCCAATTTTAGAATCAATGTTAGGGCAAACATTGTGATATGCATCAGTTCAGACTTAATTATGCTGTGAGATTTCTTAATTCTTTATTTTCCTTGAATTTACATATTCAGATGATGAGATCTAACAGTTTATTACCACAGAACAAAACTTGAGGATTTTTTACTCAAATGAAATGACATAATCATTAACACTATTTGAAATTGTTATTAAAAGGTTATTCAACATGCAACAAATCCAGACAGCATTCCATTTGATGACCCTAACATCAGAAATCTGGTGGCAGAGGTCTCAGTAAAGGTAAGTGAAGGCATGACAAGGCAAGGAGCAGGGTGGTCAAAGTCTTCTGTTAACATGTATACTAAGCATTTACTAAGCACATGTATCAGTTCATTTGGTTTTCATTTGCTGTTATATTCTGAATTATATATTGAACAATAGGTCTGTGCATTTTGAGCATTGCGATGGTAAATCTGAGGGAATTTTTTTTCCACTGTCAGATTTCAAGCTATGATATTCTGAAAATGCTTTGATACCTGCATAGATTTTAAAGATGTTTGAATAATTAAATAATAGGGATCATGAACAGGTTTATATAGCTGAAATTTAGAGGCTTATGCTGGCAGTATTGTGTATTTGATATTATTTAAAATTGTCAAGAAGATATTTAGTAAATGCTGTAAATATGATATTGTATAAAAATGTATTTTATTTTGAACATCTTTCCTCTTTGATAAGCTTATAAAAACAAGGGGCTTCAAAATTATTAACATAAAATTTCATTAATTGAATATTGAATTAGAATGTATTGAGCCTTTTTAATGCCCTATCAAAGCATCATTTGAATTTAAGATTTGAACGCCATCAAATATTGTTTGAGGAAGAGCAATGTATACACCAGTATCAATTAGTGTATTGAAAAAGATGCTCTTATGGTAATAATGGTATGACATTCATTCTACGTTTGTATTTTGTCCCAGGAACCAATTGTTTATAACCCAAAGGGAGATGTAAAGATTGTTGCAGTAGATTGTGGGATCAAAAATAACCAAATTCGCTGTCTCTGTGAGCGGGGAGCATCAGTGAAAGTGGTGCCTTGGAATTATAAATTAGAGTCATCAGGTAAGAGTTGTCTTTCTTTGATGACGTATTTGTCACAAGACTGATTTGTTTGTAAAAAATACATTTCTGATAAATACTGAAATATTTAGTCAAATTTTTATCAGTTTATTCTTTTAAATTTTATTTTGAACCAAACCACAGTAAAACCACTGTTATTATGTTTTTGTGAAATAATGATGGTGCCACTTTAATGGGCTTTATTGCATAAAAGTGAAAATAACTCACCTTTTAAATTTTTATATAATGTATACTATAGTGAAATAATTATAATGTATAACTCTGTTACAATAATTTTTTTCAGAATATGATGGCCTTTTCCTCAGCAATGGACCTGGTGATCCAAAGATGTGTGCTGAAACCATAGCTAATATAAAGAGAGTGATAGAAGAGGAAGACAACAAGCCAGTATTTGGAATATGTCTTGGTCATCAGCTCTTGTCTTCTGCTGCAGGGTGCAAGACCTATAAATTGAAGTGAGTGTGACTTGTCATTTTTAAAAAAATTAACTGACAACAATAAAATTTAAAAATCTTTTGAAATGCTTTGTTAAAATCTCTTTATTGCTATTTTAAATCTAGTGGTCAGGTTTCTCTGTCATATCAAGTGCAGCTTGTACATTAAACTGCAAACTGATTGAAAAATTTTTACTAAAAAATCAGATAACTGATACGATTTTCTCTAGGTATGGTAACCGTGGGCATAACCAACCTTGCACACACACCAGCAGCAAGAGGTGCTTTATCACTACTCAGAATCATGGGTTTGCTGTTGATGTTGAAACCATGCCAAAGGATTGGTCCATACTTTTCACCAATGAAAATGATAAGAGCAACGAAGGAATAATTCACAATTCCAAACCATTCTTCAGGTGAGAAGCAGAAAGGAGATTTTGCCTTGTTTTAAAAGTATGATTTCAGCTTTTAATGTTGTAACAAATGGATAGTTGGTTTTATATATTTTTTTATTAACAAGTAACTGGAAACAAAGATAAAACTGTATGCTTGAGGCTAAGGTAAAAAAAAAAGAGGTTTCCTGATTTTTTACTAATCCGTTTTTTTAATACAAGAATGATATTGCAGTAGAAACCATTATTTTATAACATTTATCCATGTTTAGTGTCCAGTTTCATCCAGAGCACATGGCAGGTCCCAGAGACCTAGAACTTCTGTTTGATGTCTTCTTAGATCATGTCAGGATGCACAAGAAAGGAAGAGATGAGTAAGCTACTTTTTTTTCATGAAATGGTCAGTTCTGAAACTCACTTTTAAACCAGTCAAGTTGTGATAGCATCATATCTGTAGAATTCACTCAACTTTTTATTGAATGAAACATGGTAAACATTTAATCACTTTTATATTTGAGATGGAATTTGCTAATCACTTTTTTCTCTCAGTACTTGTATTTATGAGCAATATATTTTCAGCATGTCAATCAATGACAGAATCAACCATAAGCTGGCCTACACCCCTCCTCCACATGTGCTGACCAATGTGATGTCCAAGCCAAGGAAAGTCCTCATCCTGGGGTCAGGTGGACTGTCCATTGGTCAGGCTGGAGAGTTTGACTACTCTGGATCTCAGGTAGGAATATTTAGGAATAAATAGATTATATAGTTTGTTGACAACATAAAAGAATCTAATTGATAACATCCACATGCAAACGGATACTTTTTCTGAATGTCAATTTAACCAGTGATATTGGAATTCATTATAAAGGGGTAATTTAGATATAACCCATTACCTTTTTTCGTAATTTTGACATTCATTATGAATTGTAATTTTAGTTCGATCTCAATATAAAATATAACAAAGGTGATGTGTTAGTGTTTAGGTTGTGTAATTTAAAAGTAAAGACTGATGACAAAAAGTGCACATATTGTTATTGCAGGCTATCAAGGCATTCAAGGAGGAATGTATCCATACTGTTTTGATAAACCCAAACATTGCTACAGTGCAAACCTCAAAGGGAATGGCGGACAAAGTGTATTTTTTGCCTCTTACAGCTGACTATGTCACAGAGGTAAAAAGCCCACATTGTTGAATTTATTCTCTTCTATACTAACATAGTATCTCTAGTTTAAGAACAAGATATGTTTTACTGATTAATGTGAATAAAAGTATGTTGCTACAATTTGTAAATCAGTGTAGAATTAATGTATGTATTGTACACAGGTCATCAAAAGTGAGAGACCAGATGGAATTCTCCTTGCCTTTGGTGGCCAGACAGCTCTGAACTGTGGAGTGGAACTGAAAAATAGAGGTGTGTTTGAAAAATACAATGTCAGAGTTTTAGGCACACCAGTGACATCTATTGAATGGACAGAAGATCGTAAAATTTTTGCAGAGAAGATGGAGGAGATCAATGAACATGTAGCACCCAGTGAAGCAGCTTACACAATGGAACAGGTAAAACTTTTTTAATTAGGTTTGTCTTAGCAAAAGAAGGTTCATGAAGTTTGAATTTCTTGTTGAAATTTTGCTGAAAAAGAAATGTTCTTCTATCCTAATCTCTAACAGTAGAGGACTTGTTTGGATAATTGAATTTATAAGGATCAGTTTTTTATTTTTCATTTTTGCCTTATAAAACATTTTGAAAAATTAAACAGTTTTTCTCTCTTGTCATGTTCCTGCTTTGTTTTGATCACAAGCACATTTACAGTGTCTACTGTGTCATTTTGCAGGCTCTGGAGGCAGCAGAAAAACTGGGCTACCCTGTCATGATCAGAGCCGCCTTTGCCCTAGGTGGCCTGGGATCTGGGTTTGCCAATAACAAGGAGGAGATGGCCTATCTCACCAGTATGGCATTCAAACACACTAACCAGGTGCTGGTTGACAAGTCACTGAAAGGATGGAAAGAAGTGGAGTATGAAGTGGTCAGGGATGCCTATGACAACTGCATTACAGTAAGTCACTTTGTGGTTCAGGTGTACCCAAGCTTGCATAAGCAATTTTCTTCACGAAAAAAAAATATATTTTGCATTGAAAGATGAATTGAATAAATTCCACATTACATTTCTGCAACAGTAAGTGATTTTTTCACTTACCTTGTGTTTTTTTTTTGGTATAGGTTTGTAACATGGAGAATGTTGACCCACTTGGAATCCACACTGGAGAGTCCATCGTCGTTGCTCCCAGTCAAACGCTGACCAACATTGAATACAACATGCTGCGCTCAACTGCAATCAAGGTGATCCGCCATCTTGGGATTATTGGAGAGTGCAATATTCAGTATGCATTGAACCCAGAATCTCAGCAAGTGAGTAAAAAAGTTCTTTTTTGATGTCTTTTGCAGTAATTAAGTCAGATAAGATATTTTTTAAAGCTTTGTATTATGGTGGTCATGACAAAATGTGTTTAAATTGTAAGGATTCATTTGTTTCTCTTTCTCTAGATCATCTCAACTTCTTTATATCTTGATTGTTAAGCAAGGAGTTGATTCATGGGTTGGTGAACAGCTAAAAGAGACTTCTCTTTTCCAGTCAAAATGTTTACTATCAATAAATGACTCTGCACTTTTGATATGACATTTTTCCTTCAGTATTTTATCATAGAAGTCAATGCCAGACTTTCCAGAAGTTCTGCCCTTGCCAGTAAAGCAACAGGGTATCCTCTAGCCTATGTAGCGGCCAAGTTGGGAATGGGCATCCCTCTGCCTGTGCTGAGAAATTCTGTGACTGGCTCCACAACTGCTTGCTTTGAACCAAGCCTGGATTACTGTGTGGTCAAAATTCCTCGCTGGGATTTGAAGAAATTTTCAAGAGTTAGCACAAAGGTAGATGATTTGTTAACTGGTTTTTTTATTTTTATTTTAATACCACAAGCTCATTGTGAGGTTAATGCTCATTATCAAACAGAAGATTCAGATATGCAAGCAAGCAGTGTATCTTTTCGGTAAAGCAAACCAAGCATTTAAGCTTCTATTCTTGCATATTGCTATTTGAAATTTAAAAAGAAAAATAGTCAATGACATGACACCTTTTTAATTTCCATAGATTGGCAGCTCCATGAAAAGTGTTGGAGAAGTAATGGCAGTAGGCAGAAAATTTGAGGAAGCCATTCAGAAGGCCTTGAGAATGATGGACGAGAATTGTACGGGTTTTGATCCCTACAAGAGCAAGGGGAAAGTGTCTGAGGAGGTAAGTTGCATATGGTGCATGATGTTTTAAAATATGTATGAGACTTTTTGTGTGATATACCTTTAGTGTGACTTTTATACAAAATATGTATATGGAATGATTTGGTAATTTTTACCTGATCACTTGATGTGTGCTAGAATTATAATGAATGCCCCACCTTACAGCTGTGGTGAGCATGTAATCAAATGTCACATTTCCTTGCATTTTATGCATTTTTTCCAAATGATAGGATAAAGGCATTGTTTTCATTTTATTTTTAGGAACTCTACAACCCAACCTACAAGAGGATTTTTGTTTTAGCAGCAGCTATACGTAGTGGTTATGACACTGAGAAACTCTACAGCTTAACCAAGATCGACCGCTGGTTTCTTCATAAGTTTAAGAACATCATCGACTGTGTTATTCAGTTGGAACAATTCAAGAAACAGGTTGTTATCTTTGTTGTGTGAATAAATCGGTGACTAAAGACATTTTGCATTAAGTATCAATAAAGTTACTATAATTTTCTGTGAAGGCAAACATTTAAGTTTTTGGAAATGATCAGTAACCATTAAAATTCATTGAAGATTTTCACCAATATGAAAAATACTTTATAAATGCATATGAATGAGAGAGTTTTTACAAGAACTCATCAAGTGTCTGTTTTATGTTTATCTTGATGAAATTTTAATTGCAGGATCTGACCCATGATGTGTTATTTGAGGCCAAGCAACTTGGATTTTGTGACAAGCAGATAGCCAAATTCACTGAAAGGTAAACCACATAAGCATCAAATTTGTAATCAGTAAATGTAACAATTCAGGTCAAAGTTTTCTTCTTGTCTAAGGATAAATTTATAAATAAGTCACCAATATAACTTTATAGAAATATCTTTCAAATGATAATGGAAAATCTAAGATAAACTCAAACAAGTTTGAACATTATAATGGTGTGATGAATTAAAGGTCATTACAATCAGGTAATCAAGAAATATCATAAACAAAATTTATACTTCTTTCTATCCTAAGCTGTGTTATGATTTTTTCATAAATTATACTATTTGATAAATAAATGTGAGCATATGAACATTTTAGCACCGAGCTAGTGATCAGAAAGAAGAGGATAGATTTTGGTGTCACTCCCTTCATCAAGCAAATAGATACAGTGGCAGCTGAATGGCCTGCCTCCACCAACTACCTGTACCTCACCTACAATGCAGCGGCCCATGACTTGGACTTTCCAGGGGGCTATACCATGGTGCTGGGTTCGGGGGTGTACAGGATAGGCAGTAGTGTGGAATTTGATTGGTGTGCTGTTGGATGCATCATGGAACTCAGAAAGGTGAACCCCAAAGTTTAGTTTACATTTCCATGCCCACATTTGTGTCATTGCTGTTATTAAAATGATATTTGATTAGTTTCAACATTATTAAGATCATTCACTTTATAAATAAGAAAATCTAAATGTTGTTCATAACAAGAATAATCAATGAAAGTTTCAAGCTTTAATATTGTCAGATTTTTAAAAATATTTAAATGATAAATTTAGCTTGGCAAGAAGACCATAATGGTGAATTACAACCCTGAGACAGTGAGCACAGACTATGACATGTGTGACAGGCTTTACTTTGATGAAATCTCATTTGAGGTAAGAGGATTAAGGGCATAAAAATATGTTTTTCAATAATTCATACACTTGTTGGTTGAAAATGCTTCAATTTTTGGAAATTCATTTTTCTTTAAAATTATCTATTTCACTTTGGTTCAAGTTTGTTAAATTTTCCCCATGAAATGAACTACTAGTAGAATGGATGGAGAGAAACATGTTGATGTGATATTATTTTTTCACAGACTGTTATGGATATCTATAACATTGAAAACCCAGAGGGTATCATATTGTGTATGGGAGGCCAGCTGCCCAACAATATAGCTATGGATCTGCACAGGCAGCAGGTAATGAAATACCAATACCAAAAGATACATTCATATTCTGATAATACGAAAAGTGACTTTCAGCATTTGCTATGATAAATTTTGTTTGATCTTTTTTATATGTAACTTTGAAAAATTAGCAATGTTTATAAGCTTTTTTTTCTGAAAATCTGTGACACACTTGTTATTTTTATTGGGCAAGAAGACTTGTGAATTCATCTGCACTGTGTTTAAGTTAACTGAACCTAAATTTTCAATGCCCAAAAACTACAATTTTTTTAACAAAAGGCAAGAATACTGGGTACCTCAGCAGAGATGATTGACAATGCTGAGAATAGGTTCAAGTTCTCAAGAATGTTGGACAACATAGGAATCTCACAGCCACAGTGGAAGGAGCTGACGGACCTTGCCAGTGCCAAAGCCTTTGGGGAAAAAGTGGGCTATCCTTGTCTGGTTCGTCCATCCTATGTGCTGAGTGGAGCAGCCATGAATGTCGTCCATTATGACTACGATCTTGAGGCGTATCTCACCCAGGCAGGACGTGTGTCTAAGGAACACCCTGTTGTCATATCAAAGTTTATTCTAGAAGCAAAGGTAATATAAACTTCAGTTCACATTGGAGGGGGTGTTTAAAGTGAAAGAAATAACAGAATGACTTTGATGAATTTGTTTCCTAACAGAATAAGTTTCATTATCTTTTGCTGCATGGAGAATAAGTGGAAATTTATTAGTTGAGAATGATGATATTAAAAATCAGTTTTATATGTTGCATAAAAATGGATTCTGACAATTTTTTACATGATTGTACTTCTATACCCATTCTTGATTAGCCACATGGGTAGTGCAGAAGTTAAAAGTTAAATAATTTGATGTGATTTGAAACAATTATGGAATGGGAAATTAGAAGTGCTTTGAACAAAGTCAGTCAAGTTGTGGATGTTCAGGATAGCTAGTAATACTGTTTGTTGTTTTCATAGCTATTGTAAACTTTCACTTTCAGGAAATAGATGTAGATGTGGTAGCATCAGATGGTGAGGTGATATGCATGGCAGTGTCTGAACACGTGGAGAACGCGGGTGTGCACTCGGGTGATGCCACCCTTGTCACCCCTCCACAAGACTTGAATGAAGAAACTCTACAGAAGATCAAACTGATTAGCTGTGCTATAGCTAGAGAGCTAGAAGTATCTGGTCCATTCAATTTGCAGCTAATTGCAAAGGTATATTTAAAAGGTCTTTTGCTTCTCATTGCCAAAATAAAAAATCTACCTAACTTTAAGGTTGCAGCAAGTGATAAAATACATGTTTAATATGCAAGTCCTTCACGTTTAAAACAAGCATATGCAAATGTTATAAAATAATTATTCATTATTTACTAGATACATGTGATCCTCTTGATTAGCCATATGTCATTTTCATCATAAGGGCTAAGGTATAAAGCTAATTCATATTTTTTTCCATCAGGACAACCAACTGAAAGTTATTGAGTGTAATGTCCGTGTGTCCAGATCATTCCCATTTGTCTCTAAGACGCTGGGTCACAATTTCATCGCCTTGGCAACGCAGGTCCTTGCTGGCCAGAAACCAGAGGCTATCAATGTTCTTAATGGAGTTGGAAAAGTTGGTGTGAAGGTAGGTGATTGTGTTAAGTGTAAGTGAATTAACATAATAATAGCTTCAGAATCCTGATTTAGTATGTGATATAAAATGTTACAGATTTTTCTTGTTACATGTCTGAAGAGAATGAATAACAGTGCAGATCATTTGTTTTCATTTTCATTGTGTATGTGTATTTTTTGACAACTTTATATTTTGTATTTCTCCTCCAGGTGCCTGTATTCTCTTATGCACGTCTGGCTGGAGCTGATGCCCTGAAAGGAGTAGAGATGGCAAGCACAGGGGAAGTGGCATGCTTTGGAGAGGACAGATATGAAGCATATCTTAAAGCTCAACTCAGCACAGGATTCACCATTCCAAAGAAGAACATTCTTTTGTCAATTGGAAGTTACAAGGTGAAGATTTTTTTACTTCAGTTTTGAACTTCATGAATTTCAAAGCACTTGTATTTAAAGAAAAATGCTTATAAAATTGAAATGAATACTCATCATTACCTTTTTATATCCATTATAGGTCTAGTGTTATAAAAATTAATTTTATTAAGCAGATATTCTCTTGCAGAATCTTTTTCCAATCTTTCAAGTTTAAATGCAAAAACTGTCTCTCATTTGCACATAGTAGTTAGATTACTGCATGAGTTGAAAAAGCTACCAAGGTGCATGAGGACAGGGAGCCTGGAGAACAAAATCAAAGCACACTATAATGTTTTCTTTTCACCATTCAGAGTAAAAGTGAGCTACTGGGCAGCGTCCGCACCCTGGAGAACATGGGTTATCAGCTGTATGCTAGTCTGGGCACTGCGGACTTCTACTCAGAACATGGAATAAAGGTAAGCGAGACCATATTATGCTTTCAATTTGTAGATGCATTTTGAAATGTTAAAGAGATGAATTCCTTGTTTAGACTTATTTATTCAAAGACTTGGAGATGTATGTAAGTATCGTCATCTATTTTGTAACAAGGCAATAATTTTCAGTGTTGGCAATGTTTCATTGAAAGATTAATTTTCAGAGGTATCATTGTATATAGTTTCACATGTATGAATCCTTTACAGTGACATGGTTGTTATTTCCAGATCAAGGCGGTAGAGTGGCCGTATGAAGACAATGGTGCTGCTTCAGCACCAAGAAATGGTAGTGGCGATGATGACCGTCGCCGTGATGACCAGAGAAGCATAGCAGACTATCTGGCTGACAACCACTTCCATCTGGTGATAAATCTTCCAATGAGAAATAGTGGAGCTAAGAGGGCTTCCACTTTCGTCACCCAGGGATATCGCACAAGACGCATGGCTGTGGATTACTCTGTGCCATTGATCACAGATATCAAGATTGCCAAGCTCTTCATTGAGGTGAGTAGAGAGTCACCTCAGGATGAGGAATTCATTAAAAAGTTTGTTCAAATAAAATATACCAAAATTTGATATGCAATTTGTATGATGGGTTAAATAAGAAAGAGAAACTCTATATTGAAAGAACATGATGCATGAAGGATATAACAAGTTCTTGTTTGACCTTTTCAGTCCCTGAGAAGAATTAAGGGTCCTCCTCAGTTGAAAACACATGTTGACTGTATGTCATCTAGGAAGGTTTTACGCATTCCAGGTAAGAGCTTCTGAAAGAATTTGGTTTCAGAAGTGAAGAAGGAGGGTTTGTTATATTGTAGCAAGTAAAGAATTAAAATTAAACACTGGGCAATTGATGCAGTTACTTATTTGTGTGGTCAAAAGAAATCATCAAAAAAAAAAATTATACATCCACAATGATTAATTGTAAATATGGGATACCCAATTACAAAACCCATTTGATAATTTTTACAGTTGCAATTTCCATAGGAAAAGTGAGTAAGAACAAATTGATCATTAACAATTAAATCTAATGTTCCTAGGACTGATTGATGTCCATGTTCATCTGCGTGAGCCTGGTGCCACTCACAAGGAAGACTATGCCTCTGGCACTGCAGCGGCTCTTGCTGGAGGTGTGACCATAGTTTTGGCCATGCCTAACACACAGCCAGCAATAGTGGACCAGGCTTCACTGGTCCTTGCTCAGAAGGTAAAATTATATTTCTTTCATTTTAACTTTGGAAATCATCTTGGATTGCCTAAAATGAGCGTGTGACATCATGGGAGAATCTTTTAGGAATAACAGTGAGACTCTTATGTGGCAAGCTGTCATCTTAGAAAGCAATACAATAGTTACATGCAAAACGTGGTGAAGACTCTAGTTCTTCAGAACTGAATAGCTAAATAGAAACAGTTTTTTCAAGACTGAATAGCGCTATCGTATGGATAACAATATCCAGTGGGTAAAATTGTTATCCTCATTACAGATATCTAGAGGATAGCACACTTTTAATCAGTGGACAGCAATATAAGAGACCAAAATAAGTACCCAGCATTTGTGAAACATCATTTCAGGATAATATGTATTATATAAATATTATGTTGTAAATTGTTTTGAGGTGTTATGTGTGTTCAAAGAGATGAATTCAGTAGAAGGATGAACATTTTAAATTCCCTAAAACTATCCTTCTAACTGACTTGATATGAAAATATGGTTTGAAATCTTTAATAATCAGTCAAGCAGTTTTCCCTTGATTAAAATTGAAACAAAAATGTGAAAATGTAAAGCTTGCAAAATGCCCCCATTTTTCTTTCAGCTTGCCAGACAAGGTGCCCGTTGTGACTATGGCATTTACCTGGGAGCCAGTGCAGAGAATGCTACAGAATTACCAGCTCTGGCTTCAGAGTCCATTGGACTGAAGATGTACCTGAACGAGACTTACACCACACTCAGACTGGATGATGTCACTGTGTGGATGAAGGTAAATATGTGAGTTCGAATGCATGCCTGTGTGTACGCAAGCAGGCACACATGCACAAGGGAATGTTGGTACAGTAGTGCTCTCTTATAAAGATAAAGCTTTTGCTATTGATGTTGGCAGTTTGCCTTATAACTGAATTTATTTATTTATTAATATATTTATTTATTTGAATGAGATTTCTTGGGTTTTTCAAAGGCTGTGGTTGGGTAAACACTTACAGGATTCAATGCCACATATGACAATTGTATGTTGTGTCTGTAAATTGTCTATTCCAGCATTTTGAGAATTGGCCCAAAGACATGCCAATTGTGTGTCATGCTGAACTGAGGACTGTTGCGGCAGTCCTGCTCTTAGTGGACCTTTATCAAAGACCTGTGCACATTGCACACGTGGCCAGGAAGGAGGAGGTGAGAATTTAATACAAAATGTATGAAGCCTTTAAAATTTTTTTACTTTTCATCAGTGCATGTCTGCTGTCAAAAAAGATTTCTTTTCGATCAGTTTTTTTCCATCATTATGTAATCTGGGCATGCAAGTAAGATGTCAGTGGAAGGGCAGATATGACAGTATTCACTTAATAATATAACTTGCATCATGCAGAAATTTTTTTTTTTTTTTTTTTTTGTTCCATTTGTCAGTCTTTGTAAGTAAGCAGCATTATACAAAATGTTGTGGATGGATTTTGATGACATTTCAGATATTATCGTGAGGGGACCAAGTAAAAAACGATGAGATTTTGGTTGTGATGTACTTATTTATTAATTAGTTAATAAGTAAAGACTGTATCTCTATTAGCAATATTATGCAAAAAATTATGAAGGGAGTTTGATGACATTTTCAGGATAAGAAATGGGCTTTTTTTTTTGGTGATTACTTAATTTTCAGAATTGAGCTATCTTGGTGGAGGTCTGTGCTCTCTCAGTTTTTTCTAGTTTGTTCACACACCACAAGAAATAAGAAATTCACAATTTGAGTGAAATCATTTTGAAGGTGTGATTTTTTATTTTTGTTAGATTCTCATCATCAGAGCAGCTAAGGAAAGGGGACTCCCTGTGACATGTGAGGTGGCCCCACATCACCTGTTTTTGACGGCGTCGGACATTAACCGAATTGGAGAAACAAGGGCCCATGTTCGGCCAATGATTGCCAATGTGGAGGATCAAAAGGCATTGTGGGATAATATAGACATTATTGATTGTTTTGCAACAGATCATGGTGAGTATTCAACACAACATTTGCCACTTAATGTTATTATGGAAAATGTATGGTAGCTATTATTGACTTAATTATTGAATAAGACTTTTGGAATAAGACATTATTACCTAGGCCATGGAGGTTATGTTTTTGTTCTATTCATCTGTCTGTCCATCTCTCTTTCTGTGTCTGTAACCAATATTATGCAACAAGTTACAGATGAATTGCAATGAAAATTTCAGAAACTGTTGGGTGTGAACCAGGTAACATAAAAATTAGATTTTGGTTTTAATCCATTAATTTATTGATTTATAATAATTAATTACTTAATTATTTGTCTGTCTGTCTGTCTTTAAGCATCATTATGCATAAAAATTACGCAGATTGATTTGAAATTTTCAAGAAACTGTTGGGAGTGAACCAAATAACAAACAAGTATATTCTCATTATTATCCATTAATTAATGATTAACTTGTCTGTCTGTCAATAATCAACATTATGCAAAATGTTTTGGGTAGATTAAGAGGAGATATTCAGAAACTGTTGGGGATGGCTAAGTTACATAAAAGATTAGATTTTAGTTGAAATCCATTACAAATTGATTGGTAATTAGTTAATTGTTTGTTTGTCTGTCTTTTAGCAACATTATGCTTGAAAATAACACAGATTGAAATGAAAATTTTGAGAAACAGTCAGGAGTGAACCAATTTACAAATTATTAAATTTTGGTAATGGTCCATTAATTAATGATTAAGAAACTATTAGGAGTGGACTTACACTAGTAACAAACAAGTACATTTTCATTATTATCCATTAATTAATAATTAACTTGTCTGCCTGTCAATAATCAGCATTATGCAAAATGTTTTCAATGGATTGAGAGGAAATATCCAGAAACTGTTGGGGATGGACTTAGTACCATAAAAAATTAGATTTTGGTGGAAATCCATTATATGTTGATTGATAATTAGTTAATTGTTTGTTTATCTGTCTGTTAGCAACATTATGCTTGAAGATAAAACAGATTGAGATGTAATTTTAAGAAACAGTCATGAGTGAACCAAGTAACAAATGATTAGATTTTGGTGATGGTCCATTTATTAATTATTAATTATATATTTATTTTTCTGTATGTCTGTCTGTTGAAAAATTATGCAAAATGTTATAGATGGATTGAGAGTAAATTTTCTGAAACTCTCCGGTGTCTTTGTTAGTGATCCATTGAGTAATTGATTAGTAAATAAATTATAATAATAATTGAGCTGCCTTGACACAGGTCTGTACTCTGAGTGCTTCTCTAGTCGAAGAATGAATACTTTTTTGTATGAATATTGTTCAAAACAATATGGCAATACTGTAAATCTACAAAGCATACTCTGTAGTCACAAGAACACATATAGTTGAATACATATTTTATTTATCAGCCCCACATACAGTTGATGAGAAGAACAACCCCAAGCCTTGTTTTGGTTACCCTGGCCTGGAGACCATGCTGCCTCTATTACTTACTGCTGTCAATGATGGACGACTTACAATGGAGGTGAGCACAAAGATTTATGATATATTTTTCTGACAAACAAATAAATCTACTTTCTTTCTATAGACAAGTGCTAATATAATAACCAAAGTTCACCTACTGAAGTAATATTAATAAGTTGATTTGAAACATAGCAACCAGAAGGTTCAACTTCAAGGTTGAAGATAAATGAGTTTGAATAAAAATTTTTAATAAAATATTTACATAAAATAAAGGATTTGTATTAAGATCATTATGAGTTTGAAATAAAACACATACCTCTAAAAGTTAGATAAAGAAAAAGGAATAAAGGTGTTTTGGAAATGTTCAGTCTTGAATTTTGGTACATAAAAGTTGGATTGGTTATATGTCTTGGCTTTCTGTATGTTCTGGAAGTTTTAACTATTAAAATAGGTAATTTAGCCTATACTTGTGATTCTGTATTTCCTTGAGGAAAAATTGGCATAGTTCTTTGAGCCACTTTTCTAAAATGACAAGGTTAGTCTATACCAAGGTATCAACATAAGATTAATCAGGATATATAATTTTTAGTACCCTAGAATTATTTCAGTCACTGTTATGTAATTGCACTGCTCACTGTTAAACCTGTGGTGCCCTGCAAGGCAAGAATATTTAACAACAGAGCATTTAAACTCTGATACACATGTGCAAGATCATCAAATTAGGGCAGTTTGGCACATTCAAATGTGCATACTGTTAAAACATATTATAAATATATTATATTCCACATGTTCAGACCATTTAAGGTTGTAAGTGATGAAAACATCCAAAAGAAATGAGACACTTCTATAACTTAAAGCACTCTCCTGTCAAAAGACAGTAGGTCGCGCCGTGCTTTATTTCGTGTAAAGTCACGTCATCCACTAATGCGTTCCACGCACCAATGCACAGGGTTAATTACTCGTGCTTTAAGCCAGATAAAGCACTCGGCGCTGAGCTTTATCTATACCATATCTTCCCTTGGAAAATCATCTGCGTGCATGTTTTAACAATTCATGTTTTTGTTTTCCAGGATATTGTCACTCGTCTGTACACAAATCCCAAGAAAATATTCAATATACCAGACCAACCAAATACATATGTTGAAGTTGACATGGAGACTGAGTGGACCATCCCCAATGCTATGAAGTTCACAAAATCAAAATGGACGCCATTTGCTGGCATGAAAGTGAAGGGCACAGTAAGGAGGGTGGTTTTGAGAGGGGAAGTTGTGTTCATTGATGGTGAGGTGAGAAAGATTGAAGAAGCTTTTCACATGGTTGCTGTAGTGTACTGTGCTCATTTTTAGTTGTTATTTTGTTATAAATTATTTTAACTATTTCGGAACTTAAAACTTGATGTGGCTAATTGTGTTTTGTTGAGAAGGCTTCTATTTTTGTAACATTGAATTTTGGAATAAATGATAACAAAATTCCACGTCTCTTTTAAATCATTATCTTCTGCTACATGTTTCTTAGTACTTGCATGACCCTATTTCATTTTAGAATCAGGTAAAAACAAGATTTATTAATTTACTTTTCTAACCATTTTAGTTAATAACATTTCCTTCACATCTACTAGGTGTTAGCCAAGCCAGGGTATGGTATGGATATTAATCTCCTGCCAAAAGCACCCCACCAGGGTCCTAGACAGCTACTGGGTCTAGCTGGCAAGCAACATGGTCCTCTAATGCCTGCGCCGCTTACAACAAGCATTCCATCAGTGCCTGGGGTACTCCCTGGACCATTATCTGAACCAGCAAGTCCCATCAGAAAGCATGTTGACATTCCTAAGTTTCATCTCCCACCAAAGATGTCACGTGCTCTTAATGTAGATGTGATGTATGGAAATACCACTCTGCATGGAAGTTTGTTGGGTATGCTCTACTACTGTTAATGTTCTTCTGACATTTAATGATTTTTATTGTTTGCGTTAGTATGGATCTATTCATCAAGTCAAGAACCGTGTAATGTGAGTGTTTTTTTTTTCTTGTATCAGTGTTTTTTGGATTTTCTTAACATAGTTGTTTGGTTTGTTTTGCTTGATTTGACTGAATTAACTCATGACTGTGAAATGTTGGATTATTATAAGAACTGTTTTAAAGGGTTTGTGTGTGCATATTTATTTCCCTCATGCAGACAAACCTGTAGAAGGACATCTGCCAGAATTCAGAGCAGGTACCAGTGCATGATTTCTACCCTTTTCTTTTTAACATTCCATAATATTTCTTCTTCTTATTTGGTCCTTGTAGCAGTCTCATCATATACCTTTGGAAAAAATGTCATGCATTTGTCTCTCTGAAATGCATTGCCTGATACTTTCTATCTATCTGTTTTATTAATATCCATTGTATATTGCTTTTTTAGGTTGCATTCTTCAATCTGTTTCCAATTGTTTTTTAAAAAAATTCTATTTATTATGCTTGGTCCTCTGCTTTATTTCTTATTTATGCACAGATCCTTGTAGCGTTACTTACAATACTACAAACCATGACTTGATGGAACCTCCACCTACGGGTGGTAAGTGAAAACTGCATGCTGCATTTTGGAAAGTGAGAGTCATTGTGATCATGCTGTGTACAAATGCATGTTCTGCATGAAACAATGCATTCAATTCAGTATTGTGGGTACAGACTTCTGTAAATGCAGCATAATTCTGATTTCAACTAGAAGGAAAGAAAATATAATATTTGGGTAGTCCAATAGGGCAGAAAATGAGGAGTAAGCATTCTATTTCTTATTTTCTGTTTTTTCTCTAAGTGCTTGATTTTTGTTAAATATATTTCTGCTATTCTTTTAACCATATCTTCTTTATTGACTAATCAGTAGTACGAGATCCTTGTAGTTTACTACCTGGGCAGATTATGGCAGGTGCTGAGGGTATTATTAATAGGACAGGTAATTCCACTGTAAACACATTTATGTGTGGACTTGAGTATTTATTTTCTAGTAACTTCATTACAAAAATCACTTTGAATATTTTTCATCTATCTTCAGTTTATAATTCTTATTTTTTTTATTATTTCAGTTTTTTATTCAAAATAATGTATAACATATTTTAGTTGACTGTCTTAAGTGTATTGTACTGTACTGTGAAATTAGATTTTTAAAGGATTTTGACAGCATGCCTTTTATGCAAAAATATAATAAAGTAATTTAAAATTGCACAACTTTAAACCGTAAATATTCCTATAACTCAAGACTCACAGGAGCCAGTTTCATAATTATTTATCTACACTACTTACTAAATATGTCTTCTCACACAACCCTTATTATTTGAATGCTTTTTCCCAAATTTGCCTCAATATTATTTGAGTAGTTTGACTCTCATATTATGCAAACCCAAAGGTAGTCTTTTAATATAGGGTTAAAAACTGAAGTATGTAACATGTGTCCCTCTGTGGTCTGGTGACTGCAACTTGACTATATCTGATCAACTCTCTGCTTATCCAAGGACTGTGACCAATCAATTTCTTCATTGTGATATATTTATTATATACATATATTTATAGATCTGCACACACCAGGAAGTAGAGAGACAAAAGAGACCAGTTCAGGTGGAGGTGGTGGTGATGTAGTTTTGACCAGGAGTGGAGTGACCCCTCCACACCCCTACTATGCCACGCCCACCTCCACTGCCCAATACATTTCTGGCATCACAGGACAGCATACGCTGTCTGTGCATTCCTTTAACAAGGAACATGTGAGTAGAAGCAAAGGAATGATAATAATAATAATAATTATGCACTTCTTTGACTTGTAAAAATTATAAGATTTTCAATGAGTAAACATTTTTACACAAAGAAAATTATCGAAATGATCTTTTGCTGGCATCAAAGGCCCTTAGGTTTTCCAAAGGTTCCTATCCATTACATTTATACATTTATATATTTTTTCATCAATAGTCTCTCCTCATCTGCTAGGATATTAAATCCCCCATTTTTTGTTATTATTTTTTGATTTGTCAGCAGCATTGTCTCATTGCTGCTTGTGATCTTATTACAGCTCCACCAGCTATTTAACTTGGCCCACAGCATGAGAATTGCAATTCAGAAGGAAAGGACACTAGACTACATACTGAAGGTATTTTAATATCAAACAGCTTTGAAAAATAGGGATGATAGAAATTAAATTTATCTTTAATTAGAAATAGTTCAGAGATGATATTTCTGTTTTTTTCCCTATTGAAATTTGATCACAACACATATGCATGCATCCTCCAAAGAAAGATTTTTCCTTCAGTTACATAAGAAAATAAAGAATCCACATTTGTTTGTAAAAAATGGAATCCCATTTAATTTTTTGTTTAAATAAATCTGCTATATTTTGTAAATTAATGCAAATGTCTTTTCTGTATCATGTTACCTATCTTTGTAAAATAGGGCAAAGTCATGGCATCCATATTTTATGAGGCCAGCACTCGTACAAGCTGCTCCTTTGCAGCAGCAATGCAGAGACTTGGTGGGAGTATCATTGGAATGGATTCCAGCACATCTTCTGTGACGAAGGGAGAAACCTTGGAAGGTATTTTATCCTTCTAGTGATTCTCCATGTGTTAAAAATGATTAAACTTTGTTTCTTTGTTGCTCCATTATGAGTATGTTAATTTCAGAATGCTTTCCTTGTACTGGTGATTATTTTCTCAGCGATTTTAACTGAAGTATTTTAGTATTTCTCACATCACTTTGGGTATTTCAGACACTCTTCGGGTTCTGGCTGGCTACAGTGATGTCATTGTACTTCGCCATCCAGAGGTTGGAGCTGTCACTGTAAGTTGGAACTTCATTTAATATGCCAAACTGCTGCATAGCTTTCATTAACTTGTAGGATTTTAAAGAGGTAAATAAGATAAAATACTGAATTCCCTTACATTATGAATATGGCATCCACTGCTGTCACCATGCAGCCACTTTATTCCAATACAAATACATCATGTATTTCTGTTCACAGAGAGCAGCCAAGTTTAGTCGCAGGCCTATCATCAATGCTGGAGATGGATCAGGAGAACACCCTACCCAGGCTTTACTGGATGTGTTCACCATCAGAGAGGAGATTGGTACCGTCAATGGTCTGACAGTAAGTAGAATGAAGAAAAACCATTGTGACAAGTTGCATGCATTATTTTTTACCTGAATTTTCAAGATTGCTGCAGTAATATACTTACTGCAGATAGTTAAGTTGAAATTAGAATCTATAGTAAGTAAAATGTTTATAAAGGTTAACACCATAATATATCTTGTCAGTCTGGATCATATGACACATCACTAATAATTCATTTATTAGTGATGTGTCATTTCACTAATAAATGAATTATTAGTGATGTGTCATATGATCCAGACTAATAATTCATTTATTAGTCTGGATCATATGACACATCACTAATAATTCATTTCTTAGTGATATGATTCATTTAATAATATACTTATTTAAGGTGACAATGGTTGGGGATTTGAAGCATGGGCGTACTGTACATTCTTTGGCACGCATACTTACCCTGTATAGAGTGAAACTGGTGTATGTTTCCCCACCAAACTTGAAAATGCCTCAAGAAGTTGTAGAGTATGTTAAGTCCAGGGGCATAAGGCAGGTAAGACAGTATTATCACCATGGCACATACTATCACAGAAGTTGATTTGAAATATGACCCTTATAGAATTTGTGCAATATTTGTATCTTTAAATATCCTCCATCACTAGCAAATCAAAATTACCACATTAAAGGTAAATACTTCATATGTTATGTATTTTATACCTGGCCGATTATGTGTGCTATGACAAGTTCATAAAGATAGTGTATTTAAAATATCATGGAATATTTAATTTAGGAAGAGGCTAATGCCCTGGAGCAGGCACTGCCTGGGACTGATGTCCTCTATATGACCAGGATCCAGAAGGAAAGGTTCCCATCAGAGGAGGAGTATAACAAGGTGAGCAATCCATTTTATTTAGTTGGACTAAAAAGGCAGGCTACATGTATTTTCATTGTGTAAAATCCATTATATTAGGTTTGATGGTATTTTTTTTCTTAATTTTTTTCAAGAAAAAACATTCTGTGGCAATAATGCTTACCTGAATCATTCTCGTTTAGAGTTTTTTATTTTTTTTCTATCTAAAAGCAAGGAAAAAGCTTATCTAAGTTAATATTGTTATAACTTTCAGTCCTGCGGTCAGTTTGTGGTGACCCCACAGTTGATGACCAAGGCCAAAAAGAAGATGGTGGTCATGCATCCTCTTCCTCGGGTATATGAGATTGAGTAAGTTGGGACTTCATACTACCACAATTTCGGTCTTGAAGACCTTTAATGATTATGAACTGTGATATTTACTTATATAGTTTGTTTTTTTTTATTTCAATCAAAACCTAAGAATTGAGGTATTGTACTCCAATATTACAATTTTCTGGGTTCTGCATTTCAATGTTCAAAAGTTTAATTTTATGAAGTCAGAAAACAAACTGCCATTTCTTTTCCTGCATATTAAAAAAAGTTAAATTTAAGGCATGTTATTAAGCACTATAATCAGATGAAAAAGTTATGTAATTACTTACATGTAAAGGTCTCCTTCAGTAAGATATATACTGTAGCCCCCACTTGGTAATATTCTTATGAAATCTATAGCTATTAGCTGTACTGCATATGCACTTAAATTAAGCAATCTGTGACAAATATTTGAGAACACTGTGTTACCATTAAGAACTAAATTAAAGGGATAATAACTCTTCGTTTTGGCCAAAAAATTAATTTTCCTGGAGTAAACAACAATTTTCCCATACTTACCAATGGTTAATGAATCCATTTTTACATTCAAAGTTAGTCCCTGGTTTTTTTCTAAAAAGTTTGGTTTTTGTATAGAGTATAGCCTTCAATGGAGGACACGTGGTCTAAAGACAAGCTCAGATATCAGAATAATAGCTATAACTGCTTTTTTTGTGGTAAAACAGAATATATTATATGTCTATGAGTTATTCACAATGTTTTTATTGTGAAATATAGATCTCATACGAAGAGTTATTATCCCTTTAACTATTACATCTTTTTCTCCCTCTCCTTTGTAGCCCAGCATTTGATACAGATCCAAGAGCTGCATACTTCAGACAGGCAGAATATGGCATGTTTGTAAGAATGGCTCTGCTGGCTGCAGTCATGGGACGGTTCTGAAGATGCTGCTATAGCAAACTTCTATGGAAACGGGAGTCTGAATGAATATAGTTCTATTGACATGTTTTTTTTTTTTTTTTTCATTTAATTGTCTCACAAAAAATTTGCCAATGTTAAGATTTGTTGATTATGAGCTTTTGCTGCTTCATTAGATGTTTATCCATGAGGAAATTGCGTCTCTTGCGACACAGTTTATGTGTAGCACAATCAGTATTTGTTGCTTTCTCAAAGATTTCTGATAGGCGCCAGTCAAATTGTAGTGAGTGAAGTATATTTAAAGGTCACACAGCACCTGTTTGCGATGATAGAAAATATATTTTTGTCAGAAGCTGAAATTTGATCTATTTTATTTAAAAACGAGATGATTAAATCTTTCAAAGCCAAACTGCATACTATGCCAGACAGGCTTAAAAATAATAACATGGATAATGGAAACAGTTACCCCCAGATGAAATGAATATTTGAAGGACTGATGTTGCAAAGAACCTCTCAAAACACAGTAATATTAAGTATCAGTTACATATTTGTTTATTTTTAAAGTAGAGTGTGGACAATAGGTCTTTGATTTAGTATTGTGGAGTTTGCATTTCAATTGTGAAAAAAAAATTTAAAAGAGATTCAGTTAAAGATTTTCTTGATTTCATTTCTCATGCCCATGTTGTTGCAAATGTTTATTACTATGTAATGGTGGGTATTTGAAGATTTCAAGAGAAAACTCTGAAATTGTAACCAATATCAAAATGAAACTTACGAAAAATTTTAATGACTAATAAGCAAAAATTTAAGACCAGTGCATAATAAAAGAAAACAATAACGACAAACAAAATACATTCATTCTTTAAAATCTGTGGTATGGTTATCTTGATAAAAGCAATATTATTAATTAACAAAAAATATTGGAGCCTCAAGATCTCCAAGGGTTTGCTGGTCTTTTATCTACGCTGTGCGTAGCTCTAAAATTATGACAATTAGTTTGTAGTTCTACTCTAGCTGACAATAGCTTGGAAAATGTCATTGATTCTTTATAAATATTATCCTAAGTTTTGTTTTGTTTACTGAATGTTTCTCAAGTATTGATCTTTAAAGAGAGATATTTACCTTGTCAACAATGTTCAGTTGTTATTGATTTGACAAGGAGATGTGACATTTAAAAAATCTTCTGATTGTTCAATTTTATAGAAAGATATATTAATTAATAAAGAATAGGAATCTCAATTCAAACTATTTTTGAAATAAAAGAGAATTAAGGTTGTAAAGAACCCTAAAGTAAAATTATTGTTCAAATCAATATAAGATGAAGGAAAAGGGGGCCATGCCTTCCCAATTCTAAAGGGTTTTTACAACTTTAACAATATTACAAGAGTGGTCAATTTTTCTGTAATGAGTTTGGTTAAATATTTTATAGTTAAGTCATAACTTTTGCCAGTTCAGATTACACAAAGATGACTTTAATTTACTTATAATTTTTATTTTCATAGGTGTAGTATTGATGTTATCTTTATAAAAATGTTCATTTACAAAGGGTTTGTTGCCCGTTTACATTCACTGTGCATAATACTGAAGTTACAATTATATAGTTCTAGCCCAGCTAGAAGGAAAGGAATTTTTGGGTTAAAACTCAACAAATTTGAGTGTTTTGTTTTTATTTTGTATTTCTCACAGAGTGACCTTTACAGAAAAATGTTTATCTTTTCAACAGAGTTGTTTATTTTAGGTTGTAGTTTTTTTCCACTGGAAAACTTTGACGTTAAAAACAATAGATATAAAAGTGATATGAATAAAAGATAATTTAAGAATCTCCATTTTGTTATATTTTGTTAAAATCTGAAACAATATAATAGAGAAGGATCTTTAAGGAACACATTTTACATTTGAAAATGTGCACTAGGATAAAAAATCTTAGATCCTTGGTATTCAGTTATTTTTTCTATTGTCTTCCATAAAATAGATAAAACGTAAAAATGAATGAATAAAAATATTTTTCTCCTTTAAAAGAAATGAACAAATAATTAATTATCCATTCATTTCAAACGTATACGAACGAATGAAAAATATTAATTTATTTCAGTTTAACCAATTTTATGTTGAATGGAATGCATGAAAGCACAAAACGGACAAAACTCCGATCGAGAAGAAACACCGAACGAATAGTTCACGAATGGAATAAATGAGACTCTATAATTTCGATGAAATACGTCAGGTGTCAGCAAAAGTCAAGACAAGCTTAAATGTAGGTAGGTCGTGTTTCCGTTGACCTGTGATATGTTATCCCTTTTGCCAAATAGCTAAAGTATAACTTCTGTGCATCAAACAGGAAACAATTGGATGCTTAGATAAATAGCTGCAGCGAACAATTAAATAAGTTACAACTTTTGGTCTTTGTTTATAACGTTAGTATGATCACTCGATCTTAACGCGTTCTGGAACACCTGCAACAATGCCAAATTAATATGACAGCGAATCCCGGCTCAATAAAGGGAACCGGAGAAGATCAGCATTGGTCAGAATTGTGCCGGAAGTGACGTGCAGTGGTGTTAGAAACGAAGCTGAGTGGTCATTTTAACATAGAAGTGAACGGCAGTGAAGACGGGTTGTCGGAGGAAAAAGAAGTTTTCTAAACAACATGGTAAGATAACTCTCTTTTTTTACGCATTTTGGGCAGAGAAAACTTGTAGAAATAATAAATGCATGATATGAAAACGTGACACGGAACTTGAAGGTGCAAAATCGTGCTTTATTTGCGGTCAACTTGTTTAGAAATAAATGCTGCGTCGACCGCCAGCGCGACAAAAAGCGTAAAGGGGAAATAATTCCTGGGAGTCTATAAATCGTTGTCATGTGGAAATTTGGCATTAATATAATCCGATATGTCCATATCTAAGTATTTTTGGGTGTTTTATGGTATGGGCTGCAATTACAACGATGTTTTAGAGGTCTTGAAGGACCTTGTGAAAACCAGGAAGTAGTTCGTAACTAACAAGTGAAATGTACCGATCTCCGACTGCTGTGCACAGCTGTATCTTTTTTTCAATATATTGACGAATTTTTAGATCTTTATATGTCCATCTGGCATGAAATTCCACACACATGATCACACTGATATACCTTTTACACTGGGGAAGGCGCTAATCAGTGACAAATGCCAAGACAAAGGTGACATTCTGACAGCCTCTTATCTGAGTTAAAAATCACTGACAAAAGAGACTGGCAATCAATTTCCTCAGGCTGGCAATCATTAGCCTATAGAAATTGGTCATGTTACAT